ATTATCACAAATAAAGGCAAGTATTCTGAACCTTAAACTTTGAAAAGGAGTTAATCAAACAGCACAGACAGTTGAATGTTTGCCATTCAAATATTTATTTTTTTACAGTGTTTTTAGTAAGATAATTTACTTCTTTAAAAAGGCTTTTAAGAAATAAAATTTCTTATGATATAGCTAGCAGTTTAAACTTAATTATTGACAACATTCTTTATGAAATGCTAGCCTACTTTAAAATCAAATGAAAACAAGGAAATACAACTGCCATCAGTAAAAAACAATGTGTCTTAAGTGGTAAAACTTCTTGAAATTATATCCAGCATGAGACAAAATCGTCAAGGCCATTACATAAAACATTTTTGTACTGAACAGGCAACAAGAATGACAAAATGGCGGCATCAACAAAGCCCAATGGAATGGGCAATATAAGCCACTTCATGTAACTTTACAAGGATTACAGACTTCAAAGCACACATCATTCCTTTTGAAATCACAAACTGTAACCAAAATAAAGTAAAAAATTCTGAATATAAGTTAGTGGTATTAGGACTTAATACTATATCTGTCCTGCTCCTTACCACCCCCACAACTTGCTCACTGATTACAATACATTGGGATGAGTTGAACTATTCAACAACAATGTTCATTTTATACACAGAACAAAGCCAAAGTAGACTGTGATACTAAAGTAAAAGCTGGTGCTCCCCGCCCCAACCAAAAAAAAAAAAAGGAAGCAATGATTTCCTAGGACCAAACTTGGATTCTAAGAAGCACTTATGTCAAATTAACCTCATCTTGTTTTTCAAACAGAGTTATTAGATTGGTAATTAGGGAGCAGATATATATGTGGGTATACACACATATAAACATACATGTATGTAGGTGTATGTGTATATGTGTGTGTGTGTGTGTATCTCAGTAAGATTTCTGAAAAAAGGCCTCAAGATACCTTTGTGGATAAAATGGAAGAATGTGGGTTAGATGACTGTATTAAGGTTAGCTGGCTAGATTACTGCAAGCAAAAAATGTTGATTAATGAATCAACATCAACTTCAAGGGAGGTTTTTAGTAATGTGCCTCAGGGTATTATCACAGAATCTGAATCACAGAAATAGGACACTGTCTCCAGCTTTACTTAGTTCAACATTTTTATTTTGACTTGGGTGAAGACAAAGGATGGCATGCTCACCAAATCTATGGATAGATAAATCATCCACAAATTTGGGAGGGAAATAAAACGATAGCTGAGAAATATGACCCAAAACTATCTCCATAGAACAGAAGAACGGGCTCACAAATTAAACGTTCTGCACTTAGACTAGGCTTAACATAATTTCACATTAAAAAGAACTGCGGTTTCAGATAATTGCAAGCTCAATATGAGTCAACAGTGATATGGCTGCCAAAAAAAGCTACAAACAACCTTAGGAGCTTTATTTATGTAGACAGAGGGTTCAGAACAAGGGAGTCCTGCTAAACTCTAAACTATTCAGACCACAACTGAAGGACTGTTTCAGCTTCAGGTGCCACATTTTAAGAAGGACACTGACAAAAAATGAAGTGCATCAAGAGAAAGTCAACCAGGATATGAGGGCTATAATTAGGTGGGATGTAATCAAGTCATATGAAGAATGGCTTAACAAAAGGAAGGGAGTATTGCATTTCTTCAAATACCTGGAGGGCTCTCAAACGGAAGAGAGATGGCACTTAATTCTATGCAGCTCCAAATGGCAGAATCAGAATCACTGGGTGAAAGTTATGGAAAAGCAAATTTTAGCTCAACATATCTAGAACAAGTAGAATCATTGAAAACTGGAATGGGCTGGCTTGTGAGGTAGTGAGTCTCAGTCACTGGAAATGTTCAAATAGAGGGTAGATGGCCCATTATTGAGGACATAATAAAGGGGATTCTTGTTTAATTATAGACTGGATTAGATGACCTCTGAGGTATCTTCCAACTCTGAGATTCTATTAAATTCAAATATGGGGCACAAAGATAAAGGTATACCATTTTCAATGGAATTAAGGATGAAATATGGGTAAGTTTTGGAGGAGTAGAGAAGATAACATTCTTAGGAGAGCATCATAAGCTTAAAGTGATGAAGTGAAGAATAAATTATATATTCTAGTTAGTCAAAAACCCATAATGAACATGGTCCTTAAATATATAGCTAACACCTTGCTTCATCCATGTTTTCATGAAGTTCTAATGTTAAAATTAAAGTTTGTCCCCTTGCAAATTTGCTACTAAATAACAGATAGGAAAGGTGAAAGGAAAGGGGAACATTTGACCTGTAGTGAGTTTCCTTCTTTCCTATGCTCTTCAATAAGAACCCCAGCTGGCCTTGAAGTCTACAATGAGGACTCTGAAAATCTCCCTTGTACTTTAAGATGAGAAAGATACAGGGGGGAGAAGTAGTATAAAATGAAGTTAGGATGTTGTAATAGACTTTCTGTCTTGCCTCTGGTATGAACATCAAATACCTCAGAAACAGCCATTCCATGGAGCCATAATAAGAATGAAAGGCTGCATAGTAGCTCAACTGAAAGAGCCTTAAGCAGAAAAAAAAATAGATCTGAGCTCTAGTCCTGGTTTTGCCAAGATTTAACCAGAGGTGTGGTCTTGTATTGAAATCCTTTCTTCTCAGGGCTTGAGTGTCCTTATCTATAAAATGAAGGATTTGAATCAGATGACTTACGGTCCTTTCCAGCCCTTAAGTTTCTCTGACCAAGAAAAAGCCAGTTAACAGCTACTGTGTCACCATCTGACCTGGGTTCTCTCTATGCACAATGAAAGAAAATGACCACATCTATATTTAAAGCCTCTATTTTAAAATTTCCCAAGGAAAAGTGGCAGCCATGACCTGATTAGTATACACAAAAAACAAAGGAGCCATGACAGAAACTAACAGGGAGATATACAGTAGCTCCATTCCATTCTGAAAATCAAGGAAACTAACTTGTATCAACACAATGGTTTTCTAAAGTCTATAATTATATTTTTGCAAAATATAATTAGTAACAACTAGGAAACTAGTGCTTAAATTCATCACACATGATCAAAAAGTCTTCTGGACAGTATCAAGTAGTTAATTTTTAGATTAATTTTTTTAAATTGAGAAAAAAAAAGTATGGTTTAAACAAAAGACCAGAATTGGACTCTTAATATACAAGCGAAAATAACTATTTTCTAAATTTAAAATGGGATAGGTAAGATGGCAATAAAGGAGAAATCAAAGCCACGCTTACTTTGGATCATTTTCCCCTATATAGTTAAAGTAAAACTGATACTATACTCACTTATCTGGGATGATCAGGGATAGTTCTGCTTTTCAGCTGTGAGAAAGAGGAACCTTCCAAGGCTATGATGCTATATTAAGAGCATCCTAAAGTACCTCAAAAACAGAAAATGAAATGGTTCATGTGCAAAACTGCAAGCACCATTAGGATTTTTAAGCAGCAAGACCTAAACACAAACGACAGCTAACAAGCACTCCACTGGTCACAATCTTTTAAGGAAGCTTCACTGGAGGGGGGTGGGGGGTGGGGGGAGGCCCTACATGTTGTGTCTGTGAGTGAGTGTATGCTTGCAAATCTAAGAAGTCATAATCTGCTGCTGCAATTGCCATCTATTACCTTTCAATACAGGTACAAATAAAGGGATCGTATTTGAAAATTTGGTGTCAGGAATTTTCACTGATCCAAATGGATAGACATTTTTTAAAATGATAAAAGTTTAGATAAATCTATTTACTTTTGGGATGTGCGATCTTAAAGATCATATTTATTAATCACCAGGACATATATTTGGTCACGAGTGGCTGTGACCATACTTAGTGTAGTCATCACACAAGTTACCCAGATGAACTTGTCACAAAGGACAATATTAAACTTTGATTAAACCAAGGTTACACTCTGTATTCCATAGAGTTTTCTCCCTTAGCTGTTATTCCATTATTGCTACTCTGAAATTTACACGCCAATGATCAGGGCCAAGAAGAACTGTTATTAAAAAAAAACTAATCAGTGTTTCAGATTTCCCTGGCCCTTGCTACATCCTAAACTTCTTGAAGGAAGGCACCTGCGTCTTACTTCATCTTTGTACCCCGCACATGGTCCACACTTGATGTTTGTTGAGCTGACCTGCCACTGTGCTCTGAGAGCTTTCCATGCTTGGGAACTGGCATGTGAAATCAGAACAGAATCACTTTTCTTTTGGACTAAAAACTGAGCCAATAAAAAAGTCCAAATTTCCAATTTCAAGATTCTTCTAAGTTATCTGGGTTATATGAATGCACTCTCCAATGGGTTACTTAAACAAGACAAACAGCAAAGATGAAAAAGACATGCAAAATTTGTAATCTTCTATCCAACTTCAGTAACTGTCAAGAAAGGTCAAACTAGAACAATTCACATTGTATGAGAACCAAAAGGTCAGCCAGTCCAGGGGTTAGGGGCAAGAATTCTAAAACTGCAGTGAGGTATCATCCTGAAAAACATGTTGCCTCCAGCATGGGGTCTTAAGTCTTAGATCTGTCATGAAGAGCAAATTCACAGAATTCTACTGCAATGGTAACATATAAGAAGAAAGATGGTGCCAACAGTAGTCATTATCCAAATAATGCTACGTTTTGTCAATGAAAATGAACATCTGGAATTGCACCTGAAAATAAATGGGCAGCAGGGTAATTTATGGACAAGTTACAATGGATTCCACTCACAAATATCCTTTGGTAGAACAGGAGGAAGTACCCTCTTAAGCTTCAGGGTGCTTCTGTTCAGACAAACTTCCAAAGCAGAAAAGTTACCAAAGTGTCATCAATTTTTTTAAAGTGCATTAAAAAAAAGAGAAATATAGGCATGGTGGATTTGTTGCTCTTCACAATAAATGTTAAAGAAAGGGCCATCTTAATATGTATAGTGATATCCTTTTTTTCCCCCCCTCAAACACATTAAGAACAACTGACGATTAATTTTTATAATGGGTATTTCTGCTGGAATCCTAGAGTCACCAAAGTGTTTATTTCTTAGTTGAATTTGTCTGGTTTGTAACATTCAATACAGAATAAATGATTTCAGAGATTCATGTAAGTTTGCTTTCTTGTCCACCAAAGGCTCCAGTTTCCAGTGATAAGACCAACCATATGACATAACTGGTGTAGACAAAACCTCATTTTTATATAGTATTTATAACAGACTTTTTCTTATTAAAATACTTTCTCAAAACACATTCTACTGAATGCTCAGTCCAAATAGCTTCCAAAATGACTAAAAACAAGATATTAGTCTGTAAAAATAAACTCTTGAGGGGGAAAAATTATGAGCAACATAGTTGAAATGCAATTGTTTTAACTGACTCCATTTCTGCAATGCCATTTAGATACTCAGTGTCTTAATGAACTTTGATATATATATATATATGTATGTATATGTATACATATATAAAAACACATGAATAATATTCAAAGTATCTCTTTCAGGTGAGCAGTTTAATTACAAGTTACAAATCTCTTATCAGTTTATTTATTAACTGTAGTTCAGCATGCCCCCTCAAATCCCAAAGTCATACTCCAATAATTATTTTGCTAGTTTAAAAAAAAAGAGTACTCTTAGGACCCTTCAGAAAAGTAAAAAAAAAAACAAAAAACCCAGAAGTTTCTAAAAAATATTCTAAGCATCTTCCATTTAAAAACAGATAAAATATGAATTAGGGGTCATAATCAATGCTTTTCTTAATTTAGAATAGAAACCACTATTAACTTCAAATTAATGATCAATTTGACTTTTCACAGAAGAGGATAATTGTATTACTTTAAAATCTGCTACACATCTTCCATACATGATCATGTTTGAGCCTAGAGACAACCTTGTGAGACATGCACTATGTAGATTATTTTCTTCTAACAGGTGAAGAAACTGAGGTTCAAGAATATTAAGTGACTTGCCCACAGTCAAATGTGTGCCTGTTAAGCATCAGAGGAGGACTGGGAACCAGATCGTCCTGACTCCCCAAATCCAGCACTCTGCCCATTCTGCCAGAATTTTGCAAAAATCTACTCTATCAGTGATGAAGACAACGAATTTAAGAATCCATAAGCCATGGATTATGAGTAACTGTAACAATATTTATTGGGAGACACAGGGCTCCTTAAAGCACTGCAAACTAAGATATCTGCAGTACTAATAGATCAGGGGTAAGTTAAATGGACAGGCTTTTAAAAGCCAGATGTGACTTTGCATGTAACAAAACATCCTTTGGCATACTGAAAAGTCAAATTTACATATTAACACAGGACAGAGCAATTTAAGGAGAACAAATATCCTTGTAAATATTTTTGTTTGAGTAGTGGTCAACATCAACATATATATGTATACATATATATTACAATAATTCATCTTCAGGCTTGAATGCCATTAATTCATGGAAAGCAACTGCCTTTTTTATTACTAAACATATACTTTTAAAATGCCTGTTCTCCTGAAAGAAAAAAAGCTATAGAATGAAGCATACTATGATAGAGAGCAAAATAGGCAATAACAGATGATTAAACCTCACAGGACTATGTATTTCTTCTACTGCAGACACCACATTACTCAGGAGGAATAAGAAACAGCTTGAAAAAATACACTGTCTGGGGCATCACTGGACTTTTACATACCACACTTCTGAATGCAAGACAGGCCAAAAAGCAAAGCTAAATAAACAAAGCAAGCTTCTGATGGCACATGTGTGTTACGTCCAGAAGTTTGCTAAAGACACATGGTCACTGCTGATATCACAATTATCTTTGTCCCCCAACTACTATAATTGCTCACCTGAAATATTCTATGATTGGCTTGTGAATTTTTTTGTCAGACATTGCGTTGCTTTCATTTTTATAACATCAAGCAGGCAATCAAATTACAGCTGAGTAAGAACACAGGCATTGCACTGACTAGGACATGCAGAACATGGAGTTTTCCTGCTTGGTTCCATGAACTTAGAAGCATGGAATCAAGAGTTCTTTTCCAATTGCAAGTTTGCAATTTTTAACTTATCATCGACAACCTTCAATGGGTCCTGTCAAGGCATCCAGGCTGCTGTCTGTATCTGAAGCCAATGTCTGCTCTGTTGACATGGATGAAATGTCATTGATAGATGAGGACTGAGAAGGAGTGGTGTTGCTATTTACTGCTGCATCTGTGCTAAGTAAACCAAATATAATAAAATCTGAGGCAAGACATTGTTACAAAAACATGCAAAACAGTGAGGGTTATGGACAAATGACACTTATTCTCCTTCCCCTTTATGACAATTCCCCAATCCCAATTTTGGAGGCAGAAAAGCAATCTTTAGAAGGATGCAATTAGTCAAGACTAACTTTTAAATCTTTTCCCAAGTTCTCCCCATTCTTAGGTTCCTCAGTCCCCCAGATTCAATGTCTTTTCATAAACACTTTCATTTTCTTTTCCAATAGTCTGGCATCAAGTATACTGTCATATATAGGGCTAGGGCCTGGACTTGCAATTTCATTGTTATAAGGAACACCCAGATGAGAAAACTACCTCTACCAGTGCAGGTCAGCACCTCCTCTTCAACTTAGAGAACTGCTTATAGTACAAGAGGCTAAGAGACCCGTCCAGGGTCACAAAGCCAGGATGTGTCAGAAGCAGGACTAAAGACTCAGGTGTTCTTAGCTTTATATTTATCATGTTGCCTTTTGATTATATAAGAGTAGACTCAATCATGTTCTGAAAATACACTTTAATTTCAAGAAAACTTAAAAGAAAATCATTGCATTTATCCAAATATCATTGTTCTTAAAAAGGCTTGTGGAAAATCAGGTTTTGAAATCCATCAGGTGTATTTTCTCTACCATTGTGCTCTGCTTAAGTGTAAGTCAAAAAGAACATCTTTAAGATTAAGGTTGGTAATAACAACAGGTGGCTGCAACAAAGATTAGTCTGCCCCAAAGAAAAGTGACAAGGACCTGGGGCTTGGGATTTTTAAAAAATCAAGGATAACATTTAAATTTTTTAAGGCACAACAGGACATTTCATTCTTAATGTACAGTTTTATGGCCCAACCTAACCAGAATGAGCCCTGGATAAGTATCGTTCACCCAACTCCCAAATTGTATTCATTTTTAAGTTACGCTGTGATCTTTTACCTTTGAACACTATTTGTTGGTTTGTAATCCAAAAATGAAAAGTCATCAACATATTCTACATACATCCTCTTTTTGTACGTTGGTAGCAAGTGTAGAAAAGAGCAAGCCAGGTCACAGTTCACAAGTGTGTATACATGTTGTTGTTGTTAGTTATTTCAGTAGTGTTTGACTTTTCATGACCCTATTTGGGGTTTTCTTGGCAAAGATACTGCAGTGGTTTGCTATTTCCTTCTCTGGCTCACTTTACAGATGAGGAAATGAGGCAAACAGGGATAAATGACTTGCCCAGGGTCACACAGCTAGTAAGTGTTTAAGGCCAATTTGAACTGACTCCAGGCCCAGGACTCTATCCACTGTGCCAACTAGTTGTTCTTTATATGTGCAAAAGTAATCTATTGAGCCTTTGTACTTTAAAGTGGTGCTCATAGGTCCCAGGCTACTACTAGTGAAACAAAATGATTATTCACAATGAGTTGAAAATTTGGGCAAAAGTGTTTAGAGAAACAAAGGCACCACTTTAATTCTTTGCTTGGTTTGATTGTGTAGCCGTAGTTATAGAGGATTGTGTGTATCTTAGAAGGTAACTTCACATTCATCAGAATGAGTAAACTGCTAAGAGGCAGATTCTTTTTTAAAAACAACTGCCTGAATCATAATGATTAGCATAGAAAACCCTGCTAGTATTTAAGTTGGCCAAAACAAGACTGCCATAAGGAAGACCATTAAACTAATCACTAACCTGAAGGCTGACCTTTCACCACACCGTTCTTGCTTCTTTCTTCCCAGTCCATTACTTCTTTGTATATTAGTTCTTCAAACAGAAATTTAAGTTAAAATGCTTCATTAGTTTCTTTGTATTTCTGTAAACTTTCAAAATTAACTTTCACTACAATAAAAGGCCCATTTTTGATGTGCCTGCATTGAATACTATGCTAATCTAGAGTCTTATGTATCCAACATGCTCCATTTCAGTGCTGTGATTGTAGGTGGATCTGAGCCCAGGATACCTTTGTCAGATTTACCTGTCTAGAATTAGAGATGGAGTCCAGACCTCTATGCATCATGTTGAAGAAAAAAAAAGTAGGGAATGTAATACCAGGACAATAACATTTCTACAACATACTTGAAAATTTAGAATTTAGAATAGTTAACAAAATAATAATATAAATTAATGAGAAGCAATATAGTATAGGTCAGAGATAGAGAGCAGACTTTGGAATCAGTAAGACTTGGGTTCAATGCCTGTCTTTGATACATCCTGGCTGAGTGACCCTGAGCAAGACACTTAATCTCTCAGTGCCCCAGAGCTGCAGAGCAGATATAGACCCATTTTGTCAGAGGGAGTTTCCTACACCAATAAAATCATAGGTCAGGCTCAATATAAAATAAAAGAAAACAAGGCATAATAATCATTAATGGTATCTTTATATGCTAATGAATTTTTCAAAATGCTTTTATGACAACTAAATTAATGCTATCAAACAGACTTGAACATTACAGGAAGAACACCAGATGAAGTATCCAATGGCTAAACTAAATAATGATTAAGTAGCTATAAAACTTAGTGGATAGCATTTTGGCTTTAATTTGCTATTGAGTTGTGAGAAACTTTTATGTACTTGTAAACCATGCTAAGGTCACTATCTATCAATCACACAGTGTGGCTTAGGGGGAAAAGTTCTATGCTTGAAGTCAGGAGACACCAGTTTTAATCCAAGGCCTTATCCTGACCTACTGAGGAGGAAAACAGGATTGAGGGCTGGAAGGAATCTTAAAAATCATTTTATTCAAGCTTCTCATTTCAAACATTAGGATCCAAGGATCCAGAGTAATTAAGTGTCTTGCTCACAGATGCACAGCTAATTAAGTAGCAAAGATGAACCCAAACTTAGGTCTTCAGTCTCCAGATCCAGTATATTCTTTCTGCTAAGCCCTTTTTACTGCTAAATTTCGCTGAGCCTTTTGCTTTCTCTGGGTCTCAGTTTTCTTGTCTGGAAAATGAGAGCACTGAACTAAAATTATCTTTAAGATTTTTTACAAACTCTTTGAGAAGTGTCAGGATTAGCAACAAACAGAAAAGATGTTCGAGGCATTACTACCATGTAATCATACGCTTTAATTACCAACAACAAAAAAAATACTTGAAATCTCTACCAAACCTCTTCAAAGTCTTAAAACAATGGCATTTTAGTAAAAATAAATATCTTTTAAAATTTCTTCTTTGTTAAAAACAAGTCACATAAAATGATTTTTAAAAATTTCTGGATCTAGCTCAAGAATTCAAAACAAAACAGCTTAAAAAAAACCATCTCAAGAAACTTGCTGATTAACATAAGAATTTGGGGATAAAACTATAACTAATTCTAAACAGTTCCGACAGTTCTAGAAAATAAAGACTAAACTGACTCTTGGTCAATTATGCTATACAAAATGTATTTGTGCCAAGAAATATTGATAAGAATGTCTATAACTGATGGTCAAAATAACTCGTGTCATTACCTTTCCATTCTTCAATAGCATGCTCTCGTTCTTCTAACTGGGCATCATAAATTTGAGGTGGTGGCTAAAAGTTAAATTTGAAAAAAACAAGTCTGTTGTTCAAAAATCTAATATATATAAGGAATTCCTAAGAGACTTCTCCAATGTCTAATATTGAATAAGCATCTATTAAACATGTACCACATGCAATGAAACGAAGACAGAAAGAAAAAAACAAAAACCAGTCCCTGTCCTTAAGGAGTCTACAATCTACTGAGAGGATGCAACTTTTCCATAGGTAAATACAGATCATCGAAGAAGGGAAAGAAGACTAACAATGAGTGGGATCATGAGAAGAAGGTGGTACCTAAGTAGAACTTAGTAGGACTTGAGGAAAGGTAATGGCTCTCAGAGGTACAGGCAAGGAGGGAATGCATTCCAGGCATGAGCAAAGCTATGGAGGTGGGAGATAGAAGGCTGTTTGGAAAACAAGAAGTAAGCCAGTTTGGCTGGGACACAGTGCATAAAGGGGAGTAATATGAAATAAGTCTAGAAAGGAAGGCTAGGGCCAGACTGTGAAAATCTTTAAATGCTAGTGCTAAGGAAGGAAGTTTTATTTTATTTTAGTGGCATTAAGGAGTAATTGGAGATTCTTGAATAAGGGACTGACATGGCCAGAGATGTACTTTAGAAAGATATTTTTGGCAGCTGTGTGGAGGATGGATTGAAGTGAGGACAGACTAGAAGTAATGAGTCCAATTAGGAGGCTACCACAATAATCCAGGTGAGAGGTAATGAGATTCTGAACTAGTTGGGCAGTCACATTAGATGAAGGAATAGATGCAAAAGATGTGGTGGTGGTAAAACTGACAAGGCTTGCAACTGATTAGATTTAGGGGATGATGGAGAATGAAGAGTTGAAGATGGTTGAGAGGTTATAAAATTGGGTTTATAACCCTGTGAAGAATGGTGATGCCCTAGATTGAAATAGGGAAGTAGGTGTAGACAGAGTAAAACACTTGGGAGTCTACCTGAGAAGACAAATCCAGGAACTATATAAACACAATTACAAAACACTTTTCACACTAACAAAGTCAGATCTGAACCACTGGAGAAATATTAATTGTTCATGGGTGGGCCAAGCTACCATAAAAAAATAACAATTCTACCTAAATTAATGCACTTATTCAGTGCTATACCAATCAAACTACCAAAAACTTATTGTACAGAGCTAGGAAAAATAACAAAATTCACCTGGAAAAACTAAAGGTTAAGAATATCAAGAGAATTAAAGGAAAAAAATTGTGATGGAAAGTTACCTAGCCATATCAGATCTCAAACTGTATTATAAAGTAGAAATTATCAAAACAAACTGATACTGGTTAAGAAATAGAGTGGTGCAATGGAACAGACTGGGTATACAACACACAGTAGGTAATGACCATAGTAAGTGTCTGATAAACCCAAAGATCCCAGAACCTACTATATGAAAAAAATTGCTAGGAAAACTGGAAAGTAGTTTGGCAGAAAGTAGACATAGAACAAAATCTCATACTATATATCAAGACAACATCAAAATATGTATATAATTTAGACATAAAAGGTGACACCTCAAGCAAATTAGGGAAGTATGGAATAATTACCTGTCAGATATATGGATAAGGGAAGAATTTAGGTTCAAACAAGAGCTAGAGAGCCTTATGGGATATAAAATGGATAACTTTATTTACATTAAATTAAAAAGGTTTTGCACAAACAAAACCTATGCAACCAAAATTAGAAGGAAAGTGGGAAAAAATTTTACGGGAAGTTTCTCTGATAAAGGCCTCGTTTCTCAAATATATAGTGAACTGAGTAAAATTTATAAAAATACAAGTCATTCATTAATTAATAAATGGTTAAAGGATATAAAATGGCAGTTTTCAGATGAAAAAAATCAAAGCTACCTATAATATGAAAAAATGCTCTAAATCACTACAAATAGAGCAATGCAAATTAAAACAATTCTGAGGTACCACCTCACACTCATCAGAATGGCTAATATGACAGAACAGGAAAAGACAAATGTTGGAGGGGATGTGGAAAAATTGGGACACTAATGCACTGTCAGTGGAGTTGTGTACTGAACAAACCATTCTGGAGGGCAATTTGGAATATGTCCAAACAGATATAAAGCTGTGCATACCCCATGACCCAGCAACAGCACTACTAGGTCTGTATCCCAAAGAGATTTAAAAAGAAAATGGAAAAGGATCTATATGTACAAAAATATTTATAGCAACTCTTTTTGTAATGGCAAAGAGTTGGAAACTAAGGAGATGCCCATCAATTAGGGAATGGCTAAACAAACTGTGGTATATGATTGTGATGGAATACTATTATGTTATAAAAATGAGCAGGATGCTTTCAGAAAAACCTGGAAAGACTCACATGAACTGATGCTAAGTGAAGTGAGCAGAACCTGGAGAACATTGTATATAGTAACAGTAATACTGTGTGATGACAAATTGTGAATGACTTAGCTATTCTCAGCAGTACAAAGATACAAGATAATTCTGAAGGATTTATGATGAAAAACACTAGCTACCTCCAGAGAAAGAACAGATGAAGTCTGAACAGAGATCAAAGCATACTGTTTTTTTAACTTCGTTTTTTTTGTGGGTATTTTTTGGTCTGTGTTTTCTTTCACAATATGACTAATGTGGAAATATGTTTTGCACCGCTGCAAAAGTATAATCTATATCAAAACAAACTGATACTGGTTAAGAAATAGAGTGGTGCAATGGAACAGACTGGGTATACAACACACAGTAGGTAATGACCATAGTAAGTATCTGATAAACCCAAAGATCCCTTGATTCCCTCTCCCACGGCTACACAAAAACTTTAAAAACAATTAAACTAAAACTTTGGTTAACCAGGAAGGTCAGCAATCTGGGATTCTGCTCAATGTAACTTTCTGATTAACTGAGAGTTAACTACTGAAGCATGATGAAAACAGTCATCAGCAACCAATATCTATAAATCCATAAGATGGAAACAATATGGGAAAAAAATGAAATTGGGAAGTATGGAGGAAAGATGGGTTTACAGAATAGATAATGAGTTCTAATTTGACTATGTTGAACTTGAAGTGTCTACTGAACACTCAGGTGGAGATATCTAATAAGCAGCTGGTGAAGCAGGACTGATTGGAGTCTAGAAGACAGACTGGAGAGGAATATACAGATTTGGCAGTTAACAGGATAAAGATAATTGAAACTACAGGAAATGATTAGCTCACCAAGAGAGGGGAGAGAGAGAAGAGAAGCAGGCCCAGGAAAGAGTTTTAGGGGACAACTATGGTGAAAGGATAGGATCTGGCTCATGACCCAGCAAGAAGGCAAAGAAATGGCCAGATAAGTAGAAGGAGAATCATGGCAGAGCTGTGCCACAAAAACCAAAGGAGGAGACAATATCCAGGATGAAGGGAAAGTCATGTCAAAGCATGCAGAGAGCTTGAGGTTTCTTTGGGGATAATGTATTTCCAGTTCTGATCAAGGATGGCAAACACATACCTCCCAAACTCAGCATTAGCAACGGGCAGGATAGAGGGAGCAGGAAAAGGCAGAGAATTAGAGCTTTGCTAGGAATGGGCAATAGGTATGCCCCGGCACCAGTAACTTTTAAACTCTCCACATTCCTGTATCTGCATAAGAGAAAGCTACTAACTATACCTCTACATTTGCGTAAGAGAAAGCATCTCTCTAGGGCATTTACCTAACAGTTCTAAATTGAGTAAAAAGGGAATACTGGTCCTTTTAGGAATTGAGAGGCCTAGACTTAGACACTCTTGATTCCTACATGTATGTCTAAGTTGTGTATAAACCTATACTTATTTAACCATCATACATATAATATTTATGTGATTTATGTGTGTATAACACATATACACATGTGCATCTATGCATATTATGCACACATACACATATAATTTATGGAAGAGAGGGAGAGGAAGAAGAGAGGAAAGCGGAGAGGGGAGAGAAAGGAGAGGAGAAAAAATAGAGGGCAGAAGAAAGAGACAGGAGAATAGAGAGAGATCTACACATAGCAGTGCTAAACTTCTTTAACTTCGAGGATAAGCCTTGCTTCTAAACATAAAATCACAGAGACTGAAAAGACCCATTAGGTCACTTTACGTCAATACTCACTGCCTCTGCTTCAGCAGGGTCATACCAAACAGTAATATATGGATGCCGCAAAGCTTCATCAACAGAGATTCGCTTGTCAGGATCTATCACGAGCATTTTTGACAACAAATCTCTAGCTTGACTTGCTAGGAAGAAAAAGAAAGTATATGATTTTAAAAACTAAGTTTTAATTTGAAAATTAAAAACACATGATAAAAAGTTAAATATGGCATCACAGAAGGAAAAGATCAAAAGCTCAGATTATGAAATGTTAAGAGTACCCACTTTTAAAGAAGTTTCTGACATCAAGCTCAAAATTCCTAAGTGATTTTCAAAAAATTAAAGTCATTTCCACATTAAAACAAGTCATTAAAATAATCGTGAAATGTTTCTTAAGGAAAAAAAACACATTAAATCCTATTAGACTGTTTTTTCTTTTTAAATGAGAAATAAGAAAGAATATGTTAATGGATGGGGCTGTGTGCAGGCTACATGTCGACTCTAATATCTGGAAAGGGCAGCACTCTCTGACAATGAATGAAAGAAAAAGGCCCAAAGAGTGGGAACTGTCCTGAGGGTGGATAGTTTTGATTTTTCCTTCTGGGGAACAAAGCACTAAAGCTTGGTGTCATGCCCCTAGCTATTCCCTCTCCCATGGCTACACAAAAACTTTAAAAACAATTAAACTAAAACTTTGGTTAACCAGGAAGGTCAGCAATCTGGGATTCTGCTCAATGTAACTTTCTGATTAACTGAGAGTTGACTACTGAAGCATGATGAAAACAGTCATCAGCAACCAATATCTATAAATCCATAAGATGGGCCATTTTCCTACAAAGTTTATCTTTCAAGTTAAAAAAGGCCCAATTTCCAGAGAAGGAAGGTAGTGCTTTCTTTCTCTGAAATAGACTGCATCAATCAACCAATCAAAAAGAATTTATTAAGTGTCTACTATGTGCCAGGCACTGACTATGCTAGGTGCTGGAGATATATAAGCCTGGCCTCTCAACTCCACACAAAGGTATTTTTTTAAAAAGTAAGTTAGAGAAGAAATTCCAGCAATTAGAGGATTATAATGAAAAAAAAAAACCAAAAAACAAATGAAATCAAAGCATAAATTAGAGCTATGGGCTTTTGCACAGAGCAAGGTTCATAACTATAGGCAAATGAAGGATTGTGGTTCCTCTGATCATCACATGATATAATTTGCTTTGGGTTCAGGGGTGTCAATTTTTTTCTGAGCTCCCTCAAGGTCAGATTCTGAAGAGGCAAATGATTAAGATGATTGGGGTAATTTGGTATGGGAAACTATATTTAAAATACACTTTACTTGGATGCTCTGAAAAAGTGTGAAATTCCCATCTTTGTAACTCCACTTTCTGTAATTAACACATGTACAATCTTTCTATGAAGCTTTTAAATTCTGCTTGAAGGCTTCAAAAAGGCAGACTTTGAGAGGAGAATCTCAGGTTTTAGGTATTCACCCTGACATTGATTCTCCTCATCTCAGACTTTTATGTCCTTGAGAAGTGGCAAGGTGTTTGAGGATTCCAATTGCTGGTATAATTACAAGGTTTTGATGTATTCTGATGTTATTCTCATTTTACAGATGAGGTAAATATATCACATCATGTTCATATTGTGGAATGTAAATATGAAAAAAAAAAACTTCATGTGGATTAGGGAATTCAAGCATAAGAAAAAAAAGTCTTACTTTTCAGTTTATCTCGTTCAGATTCTGATGGGAATATCCAATCAGGGAAAAGCTCTTCAAATTTGATACCAGGATATTTCGGCCTGTTTTCTACATAATTTCTCACAGTTGGCTGTAATTTCTTCATAAAGTCTGATGACGGTGTTCCTAACTGCTCAATAACTTTATTCCACTGATCAATATCTGTAGGACCTCTTTAAGAAAATATAACTGAAACAACCATATTATACAAAATATAATCCGGGAAAAAAAAAAAAGCTAACATATGTATGTGTATACCAACAAGTAATGAAGGGAGATCCCACTGTTGTTTTAAAAGTATCATCTAAACATGAACACTCAGAATTCCATGTTCTGACTATTTAAAATAAAGATAACTATGGAGAGCACTATACAAACTATTTGACATATGGCATACGATTAATTTTAAAGGAGAAGTAGCAATGTAGCTAGGAAACCCAGGTTCTAGTTCTTGCTCTGCCCCTGCCTACCTCAATCCTTTACCTCTCTAGGGTCTTGCTTCCTTTGTTTGTGAGAGAGGTAGTTGGTCCCTTACAACTCTGAAATTCTCTATTTTCTGTAGTCTTCTGATTAAACCTATCAAGATACCTACTAATGAATACTGCTTTGCCATTTTGGCTCCAATGAGATTGTTTTCTTGTGATTAAAGATTATTGCTTAAGACAAAAATCATAGGTAACTCCTGGTTTTTGTTTGGGGCTTATTTTGTAGGCTAGGGGTGAGAAGAAAGACGACCAGACCTGTTCAATGGCATAGAGAATTATGGGTGAGGAAACTCCTTCCAATGTAGATTTGGTACCTGCTTTATAACTTACAGTCTTATAGAGGTGGCCTGAAGCACTAAAAAGTTAAATGACTTGCTCAGGGTCACTGCCAGTGCATGACAAATGCAAGACTTGGAACTTGGTCTTGCAAGCTCTGAGGATGACTTACTTCCATACATCTACTGCCAGCATGCCTCTCAGAATTCATAGTTAACTTTCTTGAAAATTTAGGTAAAATGCCTCTCTGTGGGTTCCAAAGACTATGACAACAATGGAATACAAGATCTAGCAGGTCCTAGTAATCTCATTTATTATTATTGCTGCTCACAAAAATAACAGTCTACACTCATGGCTTATGGCTTACAAAGCACTTCACACATCTTGTCTCACTGGATTCTAATAACAGCCCTGTGAGGTAGGCAGTACAAGTATCATTGACTCTGTTTCTGTGAGGCCCAGGAAAGTAAAGTAATTTCCCCAAGGTCACAGACCCGATGAATGATAGAGCTGGGACTCAAATGTTTGACTCTAAATCCAGTGTTATATTCCAGCCACCTCTTGATGGAATAAGAGTCTATAAATTTGTATTCTTTTTCACTTAAACTACGACAGAAAAACCTAAATACTTTATTTATTCTTTTTGAAAGTACACCAGATTGATTCTCTTCTCTGCACCAAGTTATTTTTTCTACACTAACACTATTTACTGCTCTTGTGGAACTGTTAAGTCTAACCTAACTCCTAACAATCTTTTTCATTTCCTATAAAGCACTACTTCTTTCATCTCTGCACTTCTTAAAATTTTATTTCTCTCTTGATGTACAAAATAAACTAAGACATAAAATGCACAAAAGTAAAAAAGCGACTGATTAGCAGGATATTATTTCACCCAATATTAGGCAAAACAGCTTAATTGTTTCATATGTTACATAAAGTTTTTTAGACTGAATTTATTTTCAGAATAAAAACCTATTTAGTCACTTAAATGGGTGACCATGAAATAGGGTATAATTGCTAGACAACTGCTCAGAAAACCTCAAATATAACACAGCATCTAATTTCATGGTAAATACTTATAAAATAGATGATACATAAAAGTATTCATAAAGTCAGCCACAACAAAACAAAAAAACCCCTCCAAAACATTATCTGTTGCTTAAGAATTTGTTTTATCTACTTCACCTGGAAAAATCACCCCAATAAAAAGACCACAAGAAAAAGTATGTTGACATAATGTATATGATACTGAAGATAGATTAATTAGAAAAGCAAAGAATATCTGTCAATTGACATAAACTATTTTAATAAATTTTTTTAAAATGAAGACTAATGAAAATATTCAATGTTTATCATAATGAGAAATGATACATGGGAAAAATGACTAGAATGAAAAGCATTCACAAGATGAAAGCATGACTCTACAGACAAGAAATGGCATATAGGAAGTATTAAATTTGATTTTTTTTTCTGTTTAATGATGTTAACATGAATGAGTTGACCATGTATTAATTTAAAATTTTGAAGTTTATGTTCCTACAGTGTATTTGTGGTGTGCCAGAGCAAAATAATCATTGTTAAAAAAACAAAAACAAAAACAAAAAACAAGCACACAAACGGGGGTGATTTTTAAAAAAAAGTTTTCCCAAGTAAGAATTAGAATAGAATTAGAAAATTTGACACAACCTTTTATGTCATTTGCATACTTTCTATCTGGGTCTCATTTAATGTGTTTCAGATCCTAGTTTCTAAAAAGAACCTTTTTAGTGCATATTGATAATTTTAACAAATACAGCACATTAGTAAAATCCTTTAGGTACAACATGAGTTTGAAATAGCCACTTTCCTAGATAAATTAACTAATTTGGTGGGCTATTTATATCCTGTTCTTTAATATAGTGGTATTCCTGCATATCTACGTGCCTTTTTAAATGCAATTAAATGCCAATGTGTCATCTAATGCGATAGCTCCTGGAGTAAATACATTAATATTTAAGCAGTAGAGTTTAGCTAGTAAAATAATCAGGAATGAAAGTTAAATATGTGCAACTTTGTTAGTGACACTAATTTAACAAACATCAGAATAAGACCATTTCAAACACATACTCAAGAAGTATGATGTTTTCCTTTTTGTGTTCTCATCTACTGCAGACAAAGAAAGTCATTTTGCCTTTGGTGGTTATGGAAAGTATGGCTGGGGTTCAAGGATGACTGGGGAAGGATACGATCAGTGCCTTGGAATATCACACAACCTTTCACCAGTTCTCCCATGATGCACCCCACTGACCAGATATCAACTGAAAATAAAATGAAATGATAAAATTATGAAGTGCCATGAACAAAATAAAGGCGGGAAAAAGGAATTCTAGCTTCTATACCAGACACATAAATATGGAAAAATAAATAGCTAGCTAACGATGAACTTTCATACAATATGAACTCAACTTTTTTGTTGTTTTCAGTTTGACAGTAATTCAGTTTTAACACTAACTATAACACTTAATGCTTCTGTTAAAACATGCTGATAAAGTACATGTAAACTGATCTAAAGACCATTTTCCAACCTGAACAATTTACTTTACAATTCTAGAAACCACTGTGAAGGATACAGTCTCTTCCTGGGAACAGGACTTTATGAAGGACCATTTCTGCCATAATGCACCCAACAGACCAGATATCCACTACCCAACGCCAGGTGCAATGAGAACATAGATTAAAAAGTTAACGATAGAGTACCCTACGCCCCTTTAATCCCCAATATACCTTCAAAACAACAGAAACACAGAAAGAAGCCCATCATCCTTACTCTACCTCAAATATTTTTAAATTAACTTAATTCAGAGTTTTTATAATGTTCTGAAATATGATTAAGTTGGTATGGGCATTATTACATTTAAGGCATTCATCTCAGATTCAAATGGAAGTATTACAAATGGAAGCACCCAGAAGGGGGCTCCCTTTAGCTATACTGCTCCAGAGAGTACTACATCGACAAAGCAGTTTCAGAAGTTTATCCCAATTTGATAGATTTAGAGCAAAAAAGGCCTTTGAGATCATCTAAGTCCAATCCCCTCATTTTACACATAAAAAAACCCAAAGGCCCAGGTAGAAGTGACTTCATTCAAGCATTCTCTTAAGTAATTATTGCACGATAATGTAATACACCTTCTTCTTTTAAGCCCAGGCTGAACTCTTATCACCATGCCACAAAAGGCATGAACAGTTTTGTCCAGGAGCATATTTATGAGGAGAGATGAGGATAAATGGGGGGCGGAGTGGCCTGGTGTTCTCCATTATTTCATTTATGTGGGGCATTTCTTTAATAATGTAACAGTAAAGCACCTTTTATCAGATCTATTATGACTGAGTGCAAGTCAGTATGAGGGAAGGAATAGGTTTGAGAATATTTATGATTTAACAATGAAAACAAACTAATTTTGTAACTTGTGACCAGGCTGAATTTAGGCCTCTGTTCTTTATGGGTGAGTTAAAATAGGTTTAGTTTCTTCTAAAATAATATAGAATCTTAAGAAAACAACAAAAGTTAAAAAGAGAGAAAACAACTTTCTTATCTCAGGAATTAGTTATTTTCAGATTTAAAAATAAATTGTGAAATAAGTTATTTTTTTACCAGTAAAAAATAAATGGGTAAAAAATAAATGACTTTACAAGTGTGGACTACAGTGACCTCTCTAGACAAGGCCATAACCAAATTTAGAACAATAAGCAATCACAATTTTACATTCAAATTCAAACTCACTGTAACAAATGAATAATAAAATTAGCAATACAATTTTAAAGAATATCAACTTTCTCATTAAAATCTGGGACTTACCATTTTCTTTGTATCCCATCCCCAAGATAACTTCAGGTGCTCTATAATACCGTGTGACTACATATGGGGTCATCATAAAATTAGTACATGCTGTCCGTGCCAGGCCAAAATCAAGGATCTTGAGTGTACAATCTGACTTTACTACTATGTTGCTGGGTTTCAAATCCTAATAAATTAATGAATTAAGTTAGTACAATGATTTAAAAATATATGGGAAAATACTACATATATTCTGTCATATGCAATATTTTAACAGAAGTACTTGTAATCTGTGTTGCTTTTTTATTTGTTTCCCTAGAGCTCAGCAAAGTGGTCTGCATATGGCAAGTACCTAATAAATACTTTTTTATTAATTTAAATTTTAAGTTCATAGTTATCAGATGACAGAATGTTAGAAATGAGTTGTATAGAACTTCTATTTATTTAAATAGGTTCCTTATTTTATGGAACAGATACAGTACAGGAAAAACAGCTAGAATTTACATGAAGCAAATCCATTTTCCTCACTGACATCAATTATGAAGTCAGATACATTTCTTAGGGGAAAAAAATCCCCCAGACGACTGGAATGAAAATTATTAAGTGAAGAAGGTGGAGACCTGGGTATGTTGTCTATAGAACCAGATGCATTTTTTCTTTAGGACCCTGCAGCCTTTTTCAAACTTCAGGAGTTAAGTCTTCCATTATGACTCTCCTCCCTTCTTGATGCTTTGCAGGCCACTACAGGAATGTTTCCTGTGGCTCAGGATGCCTGGCTCTATATTTGATATAGTACTTAAGTTTCCCACCCAAAAAACCCATTATTGGCAACATATCTAGAGAGAGTTATCATAAAGGGAGAGTTATCTGTTCAAATATATGTCATTTGTATGCATATGCAATTAAATGTATATGCAACATCTATTTATATATGTATGTGTAATTTAAAAAGAAACTTTAAGAAAATGCTCAATTATAGCCCAAATCAACAATGCAATAAAGAAATGCCATAAACATTATCTTTCCAATAAGATGGTATCACTCTTGCTTCTAGATTTTCAATATTATTTGCAAGTGGATTGAAGAACCACTAAAATAGTGGGGACTGATGTGACCTCAGCCCTAGAGAGGTCACATTTATACTAAGTCTAGGCATCAAATTTTAAGAAGGATATTAAACTGAAGCAAACCCACAGAAGTAACTAAGATGGGGAGAAGACTGGAAAGCATTCCATTGAAGAATCTGTTGTAGAAAGTGGAGAAGTTTAACACGGATAAGACTTACAGGATATTATTTCAGTTTTCAAGTGTATCTGAGGAGCAAGGATATCTGCTGCAGAGAGGAAGATGTCAGTTCAAAACAAAGGAAAAACATCCTTATCAGAGTTATCTAAGTGTGAAATGAGCTGCCCAGGCAAATAGTGAGCTCTCTGTCCCTGGAGGTGGTTAAGCAGTGGTTGGCTGTCCATGTGTCAGGGATATTACAGAATAAATTACTGCTCAAGTACAGGTTGAATTAGAAAATATCTATGGTCCTTTCTAACTCTGAGATTCTCCAATTTCAGCCGTGTTATTAACTCAATTTTCATGATCCCTGTTCTCTATTAGTGGAAGTTATTTACTCTATACTAAAATCTTGAACCTCAAGCAATAATCGAAATATTTTAGTGTTACTATTTCTATACAGTAATCTGTATTCCAGTGATACATTTATTTTGAAGGTAAACAAGTAAATCTAAAGTATTTACATTTCCAAGCCCACTGACTGCAAAAACCAAACCTATTTCCACTAAATTATTTGTGATACTCAAACATTGCATAGTTTTTTGTAATTAATCATGGGAGTGGGGAGGTTGTGGAGAACAATAGGAAAGCTTTTAACCTTTCTTAGTATCAAGGACCCCTTTGGCAATCTGGTGAAGCCTGTGCACCCTTTCTCAAAATAATGTTTCTAAGTGAATAAAAAAAAAATTGAAGAAAATACTGTTTCACTTAGGAATTAGTAAAAATAAAGATCTGATTTTTTTCCTCACATGAGTTCACAGATACCCTGAAATCTATCCCTGGATCCTTTGGGTGGAATCTGTGTACCCTAGGTTAAAAAACTGGTTTAGAGGAACACAGTTTACATGATGTGAGGAGAAATCAAAAGAGCAAAGTCTTTTAGGGGTAATCAGGGGAGTGACTTGATAGGCTGGTAGAAAAAAGCAGGTGACTAGGGAGTCATTCTGCTCTTTGGGACTTCCTTCCTTTGAGTGGTATGATTCTATGACATTTAAGGAAGAAGTAAAAAGGTCTCAGTTCAGCAAGTGGCCTCCAACTCTCTACAGCCCTTTCCTATCTCCGACCCTTCCTTAATTAGTTTCTTTTAGGGGCTAGTAGGGCCCAACTGGCCTTGGTTGGCCTTGTACCACAGGAAAAGAGCTAAGGGAAATGCAGATGTTGCACTGTTACTATGGTAATGCAACTACTGATTAAAGAGCAGTAAGCCAACTGTATAGAACACTAGGGACATCATTCAGTTGCTTCTGGACATGAATGGCACCAGGAATCAGGGCTGAATAAAAGAAAAAATTGGGGTAGGAATCCCAAAGGTTTCAGAAATCCTCATGCAAGAGGAACTCTGTGAATTTTATTTTTTAAGTAATAAAGTACCCAAACTTTCACCCCTAAACATTTTATATTAATCATGCTCATCTAAGAACTGAGAATATCACCTAGGAAATATATCCTTGATAATTAATTATTTTTTAGCACATATAGCCATTTTATTATAAAGGAGTTTTTAGGACAACCTGGGTAACATTTCAAAGAAGAGTTTCATCTATTTCTAAAACCGTCATCTTTTTGATGACTGAATACTTATTAAAAACAAAAGAGCCTCTTTCCTATTTCTAACATAGTGTCATTTAATACAGTATAACCTGCTAGTATATTTGATTTTTCTACTCTAAAATGTGATTTTAAGAATTCTCTAGTAATTCAAGAATTTGGGTTTTGCATTAGAAACTAATGCAAAACAATGTGGTAGAAAAAGAAAAGTTCTTAAAAGAACTGCAAACTATTAACAACCATACGAAAGAATCCTCTGAATCACTAATGACAAGAGAAATGCAAATCAAGGCAACTCTGAGATTTCATCTTATCCCTAATAAAATAGTAAGAGTGAAAAAAAGATGAGGATAAAACATATTGGCAAAGTTGTAGAAAGACATACACAACAATGCAATGTTGGTGAAGCTCTGAATTGATTCAATCATTTGGGATTATGCTAAAAAAGTTATTAAAATGTCTACACCCTTTGATTCAGAGATTCCATTCCTAAGCATATACCCTAAGATATACCCCAAGGAGGTCAATGATAAGAAGGAAAAAAACAGGTCCCACATATACCAAAATATTTACAGAAGCACTTTTTGTGGTAGCAAAGAACTGGAAGCAAAATAGATGCCCACTGATTAGAAAATGGCTAAACAAATTGTGGTACATTAATGTAATAGAATATTACTGTGCTATAAGAAATGACAAATAAGATGAATGTGGAAAAGCATGGGAAGATTTATATGAACAGATGCAAATTTAAAAAAACAGAACCAAGAAAACAATACACAGCACGAAGGGTTACAACATGTAAAGGGAAAAAACAATAGCAAAAAATAGGGAAACTGAGTACTGAAAAATAAAAATGACCAAGCTTGGCCCACAGGAAAAAACAGATATAAAAAGGCACTTTCTTCCTTTCTGTGGTACACTGCATATAAAATCAGCCTTTTTTGATCTGTTGGTTAGTTTTGCTGAACTGCTTTTTTCCCCCTCTTTTTTATTCTTTGTTAGAAGGGATGACTTTTTGTTGGGGGAGAAGAGAGGAATGTATTGGGAAATGCAAGCAATGTGAAAACAAAAAGAATATATTTTAACAACACTAAAAATAATTCCCATCAACGTTATATCACTACATACTCGGTGTATTATACCAGCTGAATGGAGATGTTTAATACCACAAAGCATCTGATAAAGAAGGTAAGACATTCTTTCATGGTCCAATTCCATATGAATCACTTGGCATAAATTAGCATCCATTAATTCCATAACCAAATACCTAGAAAGGAATAAGAAATTCCCTTTTACACATATGTACATTAGCAGAATTGTATGGCTATTTAAAGGATGTATATTCAACTGAAATCTGAAGGAAATCATAATAAAGCTTATCTGGTTATTTATTACATTGGCTAGCTTAAAAAAAATACAAAAAAACTCCATTATTTTTTGAGGATTCTAGAAATATATGAAATGATCAAGTATCAGAGAAATAAAGAATGTGTCATGGTCAATTAAAAATCTGTATTTCAAAGAACACAAATGGAACCTATAGCTTCTTGTTAAATTAAACAATTTATGCCGTGTGATTCAGGCCCCCAATACTGGAAAATGCAAAGGATATGTAATTTTGGCAGCTTGCAGGACCTTCTTCCAACTCAAACAGGGCAGATTAATAACTTCTATAAAACTCAGTAGATAAATCCTAGGAATTTCTTGAGGTACAAGGCAATCAAAGGACTTGTTCAAGATCAAAGAATAAATAAAGTTTAGAAATAGGATATGAATCCAGGTTATACTAATTCCAAACTCAGCATTCTATTTATTACAACAGGCTACTTCCAAAGGCTTCCATATACCAATAAGTGTTAACATAATATACATTAATACAAAAAATTAAGAGTCTACTTCATGATTTTTGGAGAAAACTATTTTGATTTATTAATCAATTTCACGTAGTAATTGTAAATAAGTGTGCAACTACTACACTAGCTGACCAGAGGTAGTGTAATTTAATATTCCAGAAAAGACCTATAATGAAAGACATTATTTGGTTACTAACAATATTTGGTTATGAATATAACAAAGCCTCCTGGTATTGTAGTTATAATGTGTTTTTTCCTAAGGAAGGTGATTAGTTCTATTTTGAAAAAGTCTTTTCAAACATTTCTCCACAGTGTACAGAGATGTATTCATAACCATTTAGTCTTAATGATCAAAGAAAGCTAGTTGAATGAACAGTATAACTGCAAAAGTTTCATTTCAACAGAGGAACTGTCACAAGAAGGAGCCTCTATCCTTAAGAGGAGTTTTTTATTAGATACTTCTTTAAAGTGATACCTGGTAAAATAGCTCTCTTTCTCAATCTCTATTGTATGTTACTTCCCTAGTTATTTAAACATTTAAATCTATTAGCTAAAGACAAGAGTAGAAATAAGAATACTCACACATCTTGAAATTCTTCTAGAGATTTTTGTGGTGTGAACACATTCAATAAGCTAATTATCTGGGAAGAGAAAATTCACTATTGTTCAGAATATCAGGAAATTTTTTTTTAACCCCAGTTACTAAAACTAAACCCTGACAGAAAATTCACTTTAAAATGGAAACTTTCATTACAGATTATTTTAGCACACTGTTTTGGGTGTAATAGACAATTCAATTTAAGTAATATTTTAAAGCAGAGCAAAAATTAAATATTGGAACAATCAAACCACGTTAACATTTAACAGACTGTAATAGGATAGAGAAGGTAACTGCATGAAGAGGCATACTGCCCAACTGTCATCTACCTACTCCAGCAAACACCTGAAGTTCATACCAGACAGTATAATTAACAGGAAATGTAATAAAAAATTATAGTTAAGTGACTTTTTCCATGCCAGAACTGCACAAAAATCTAGCCAGAGGACCACAGACAAAAGCAAAGAGGGCCATCACCAAAGTCAGGGCTAGCCCAGGCAAACAAACCCTTTAGCACAACCAGATATTGGTCAGAGATTTGTATAATATAATCTATGCAAGATTCCGTGTCTGAAGGCAGCAAGAACATATAGAGCCCTCTTCCACTTTCCCACCAAGAAAGACCTAGGGAGGTTTAAAAAAAAACTCCTAGTGTGGTCAGAAAACTCCAAGGTCAAACCCCTGAAAGCCCTAGGGAGCAGCAGCACTCATACTGGGATCACCCAAGCCCCTAAGGTTCTAAGATCCTTAACACTCTACCCTGAGATGTCATAGAAGGCCCTCAAGATCCAGTGCTGTCAATCTCAAAGATATAGGAGGGCCTAATTCTGAGAGATGGAGATGAGCACAGAAATGTAGATGGCCCAGGGAAAGCCGAAGTAGGGCCAACTACCCTACCTAGAAGGTGGAGCATGATGCTGACACAAAGCTGGGAAGATGAGTAAATCAAAGAAAACACTGGCTAGTATAAAAAAAGTCATTGTAAATCAAGAGACTCCCCCAAAGGGGTAACTTCATAACAACTGTAAGCAGTTACTCAAAGGAAAAAAATGAATTTTCTGCAAGGACTATCTACATGAATACCTAAAAGAAATGTACCAAGAGTTAAAAAAGATGAAATAACAGCTATGGAGAAAAGAACTAGAAGAAGAAACAACTTAGAAAAGTTATAAACCTTATTCAAACAATTGGAAAAATACAATAAAATATAAGATCAAAAACAGCTGACCAGGAAATCATATAATGAAAAGATAATTTAAGAATCACTGGACTTCTTAAAAACAATGATTAAAAAAAAGCTTGGATATCATATTTCAAGAAATCAAAAACTAACTGAATCTATCAGAACTAAAGGGCAAAATGAAGAGCACAAAGTCCACAAATCACTTCCTGAAAGAAACTCCAAAAAAGAAAAGTCTGAAATTCCCACAACAAAGAAAAAAAAATACTGCAAGTATTCCGGAGAAAGCAGACTGAGGTTGGTCGATGTGACTTTCATTTCACATAAATGGAAGGCAAGGAAGAGAAAGGGAAGAATAACTGCTGTGGCAGTTACTTAATCAAGTTTTCCAGTTTCTTGCATATAGAACATGTGATCTTTCCAAACACGTCTTTTGCTAAATTTAATTTCCCATAAAATATAATTTTAAACTTTATAAATAAGCACTTATCTATAACAGCTCGACCTGAAAATCATTTAATGGTCAGCTAGTATTATCCTTAATTTGCCTTTACAGATAAATCTAATTAACAAAAACATTCATGAACTCCCAAAGAACAGAGAATGTCACTCATGTTAATACATTCAGGAAAATATTACTAACTTACATTTTTATGATTGACACATTTTAACAGAACGAGTTCACGATAAGCTCTCTTTGCATGAGTTTGATTCTGAAATGGTCGACTTAATTTCTTGACAGCAACATTTATCCCAACAACTGTATCAAAAGCAGCACTGCAATTATGAAACATAACAAACAGTTCACTGTCAGCTTTAGGTAAAAGTAAGATTCGCACAATATATATTTAACTTTTTTTTTCATATATAAAACATATGAAGACAATCATTTGAACCACTGAAATGTCTTTGAAAATGGAAAGGTTCTGACCATTTGTTTCAATTCTACTATATGCAAAGCCCCATACTACGCACTAATTATAAATTAATTTGGAGTATCAAACACAGGTAACATTTTAAATGAGAAGTATAGAGACTACTTGAATTTGAATTCTATTAGAATTGTTTTCATGCTTAAATTTATAAACACCATTGACAGATAAGCCTGACCTTCTGTAGACAGTAATGACAATTCTAGCCCTTTATGTTTTCAAAGGCCCTCTGCATACGTCAGTGAGTTTGATCTAACAACCACCTTTTTAAACAGACAACATAGGTACAATTATTCCCATTTCATGGAGGTCCTTGCTCTGTCACTTCCTAGTTGTATGACCTTAGGCAAGTTATTTAATTTCCCTGCACAGGAGGGTCCTGCTCTTCTGAATCTATTAAGGATGTGACTCGCCCAGGGCCCCATGGACAAATGGCAGAGCCAAGAGTTAAACTCAGGTAGATCTTTAAGTCTAGCACTGTTCCTACTTTTTCTCAAGTATAAAAATACTAAGTTTGTAGGTAAAACAATTCTGTGTCAACATATAATGTATGATTTAGCTATTTTTTGCACATGGAATTCTGAATTTAGGCCACTAAAACTATATTTAAGTCAACAGTTACCTATTACATACTTATGGCAATAAGGTATATAACATTATACAAAAGGTTTTAATTTTTAAAATTTCAATTAGGGAAAAACAGCTATCACAAATTGACACTTCTATACATCCTAAGAACTATAAAAGAGGAGAGAAGCATAATCGAGTCCATCTGAGATTAAATGTGCAATAGTAAAAATGGAAATGAGAAATATCATAATATAAGCATTTTCTGAAATAGAGGTCCAGAGAGACAGACACACATACTTGCACCGACTATCTCACAGCCGTTTTTTAAAATTCTTCTTGGTCTGAATCTGTGATTTCATTTCAACCACATAGAGAACTCACTCCTGGTGAGGATGCTCCCCTGACCATGTAGAGCAAGTGTACTGTCTAGCCTAGGCTTAGGGAGTCACCCGAAGGCACTGAGACTTAAATGACTCGCCCAGGGAAACAGGACCGGCATGTGTCCAAGGCAGAGGGCGACCTCAGAGGCCATCTAGTCCCAACCCCTCACTTTAAATGAGTCTCAGGAAGGGTTAGTGACCTGCCCAGGTCACATGGGGAGTATCAGATACAAGATTTATCAATCTGTGTTTGCTGAGGGAGTTTCTTCTTTTAGAGTTCCTTACAATGATGAAACCACGGGATTAGATTTTGCAAAACACACACACACATGCACACACACACACACACATACACACACACATGCACACACACCAAACCAACCCTAACCTTTCTGTACTCACAAAAAAAAAAAGAACTGGTCCAAATCTAGGCAGTATCCCTTTAATAACATGTTTTCTCAAAGTAAAGATAAAACTATGTAGATATCTATCAATAGTTGTCCACAGTCAAGTTTTATACAAGCCAGATTTTGGAAAGAGTGTGGCTTATACTTAGACCAATTCAGAGTGCAGGCAGAGTTCTTATGTATATGTGTATATAAGAATACAAGCATATGTCCATGAAAATATTTCAAAAGAGCTATGATTTTTATCAGTTGATGGCAGAGCCATCATTCCATTAAGATAGACTGCAACCCCTTTGTACCTTAGTAGACAGTTTCATAAGCTGCTGTAACAAAATAGTAATAATGATAATAGTTTCATGATCTTGTGGGCAACTTTCTGATGATAAGCCTCTCAGAATTGTGCTGTGTTGGTTCTCAGATGACACTCAGTTGTCACTGGGCCTATACTTTTTGGTCAGACCAATCAGAGTTGTGGTCCAGAGGCATAGTCTTTGAGAATCCAGACTTACCAATATGCCACAGAATAAGAATTAGAGAAGTATCTGCAATATAGCCATATAAACTAAATACGCATACACATATACATGGCAGATCCTACATGAGGCCACAGGGCCATATGCTGTCCATAGGGCATCCTAGGTAACAGAATGAGAAGGTGGACTGCTAAGCATTCTTATTTTTTTTATAAACCACAAACTCATGAAACCATCTAAGGCATCAAGGGGTTGTGATGTGATCTGCACTGGAGGTGCAGGTGGAGGAAATATCCATACCTACAAAATCACAGAACTCTCGAAGTGAAATAGTACGTTTCCCACATATGCGCAGATATGCTCATATTCCATGAGCTGGGAAACACGTGAGGTCAATTTCAAGATCTTTTTCCTCTAGTATCTTTTTTCTTGTCTATACCAAACTTCAAGATAACCAAAACAGAAGAACCAAACCTATCACAGATTTTATTCGCAATGGCATTGCCTTGAATTATCTATTCTAATTATCTAAGACTGCTGTTTCTTCCTAAGCAACTTTTTCTTTTTGGCTTATAAAGTAGTCTAAACCAAAGTACTGTTTGTTCAATTTGACAACCTGTTTGAAGGCAAATAGTAAATTGCTTTCTTTAAGGTAGAATAATATAGAATCCTAACACCAAAAGGGATTGTAAAGATCATTTAGTCCACACTGCTCATCTTATACATAAGGAAGCTGAGGCTTGAGACATTAAGTGTCTTCCCCAAGACCATATTACAACAGTGGCAGAGCTGGAGATATGAACCAAACCTCCTGACTCCCAGTCCAGTGTTCTCCCTATCACATCAAGAGGCCACACATAAAATTAAACGTAAAAGCAACAAAGACCCTCCTGTACAAAAGCATGTTTTGTATCAGAATTTGGAGATTGAAACACATAAAGCAGGTAGTCAGTAACTTGCACAGAGAATCACAGACTACTGTGACTGGAAGGAACCTTAGATATAGTTCAACGCTTTCATTTTACAGATAAGAAAATGGTGGCCCATTAAGGAAAAGAGGTTTACCAAAGTTCACACAGTGACTTTTTTTTCTCATGAAAGAATAGTTAAGATAATGCAAAAATAACAAGATTAGCACAAAATTTTCTTACTTGTATGGTATTGGAGAAAGCAAAAAAGAATGATATACCATATGTTTTGTGACAAAGACCTAATTACATCTTCCAATTTTGCCAGACCTAAAATAACTTTTTAAAATGACTAAACATTTCACAGAACTGATTTAGAAATCAAATAATCATCATTATTTTGATTCCACAAGGTGAATTTTTGAAGGGTAAGAAATTGGATATTTGCACATTTGAAAAGGAAATAAATATTTGTGCTAGAAAACTTTGTAGTAATTCCATAAATATTTATGTATATCACAAGTATACCAAGAAGACAAAGCTGATTAAAATACCACCTCGCTTCCCCAAAGAGCAACAGCAAAAAAATGTTTTCAATATATAATTAAATGTGGTCTTAACATCTTTTTCAATTTGTCTAAGCTGAGAGGCATTCTGGTGTTGGGCTTGGGTTCTGGTGCTGGCTCCCTCACTTTCCATCCACATGAAATGATAGAATATTAAAGCTTAGAATAAATAATCTTTTTTTGAAACTCCTCAATTTTACAGAAGAGGTCCCAGGGGCCCCAAGAAAGGAAGTGACAACTAAGATAACATATCCAGTTAGTGGCATAGTTTCTCAGGCATGTATACTCATAAGTACAAGATACTGTGATACAGACTGTCTCTACATGCCAGAGATCTTCACAACAATGCAAAAGACAACAAGGTGTGCAAATATGGAAAGGTTTTCACAAAGTTGATGAGTCTTCAGTCTCAAAGAATGGGTAGAATTAGGATAGATTAAACAAGGAAGCACCTTCCTTTTTTTTTTTTTTTTTAAGCAGAGGGAACAGAAGAAACAAAGGTATGGAGGTAGAAATAAATATGGTAAATGAAAGTGGGGGATTAAAGAAGAGTGAAGAGGAGAGAAAAAAGATTTTGTGATAAGGAATCCTTAGTGCCCCATAAGAACAAAAACAGGGAGACTCAATAGGTTTGGGGGACGTGCTCCAGAAACATCCCTCCATTTCCAATGCATCGATCCTTCCTTTCATTAGGTTCTTTTCTCCCCCACCCCATTGTAATACTCTATTAAAAATCATTAGTATGTTTCTAAAGCAAAATAATTGTTATAAAATGAAAATTTTTAAAATTCTACTTGGAATATAGCATTAGAACCCTCTATTAAAGATTAATATTCTCAGTTTATGGCATCTAACCCAGTAGTTTCAGAGTTTTACATGACTGTAAATATCTGAATAAAAATTATTCACATTTCTATAGCATTTTAAGATTTAAAAAGCACTTTCCTTACAAATCAGTGAGATAGGTCATTCACAAGCATTATCATTCCTATTTCACAGAAGAAGGAATTGAGGCTCAAGAAAGTTTCAAAGCCAGAATGTATTAGAGCCTAGAATTACACCTAGGCCCTCTGATTTCAAAATCTAGGGCCTTCCTACTATACCATACATACCTGCCTTTCAAAAATCAAAACTGTCTTTTCTACTATCACTATCAGAGGAGTTTTTATTAGTGGAAGGATGGTAATAAACTTTAAGTATTTTGGTTTCTGATTTAGTTTATTCTGTTCAAACAAAAATTCATAATGAAAAATTTCATCAAAATTTCCCCTTTCTTTAAATTAAAATGACTGGTACAAACCAGGAGTAAAAAAAAATCATCAAATAAAACTAAAATTCTATAATTAGCATAGTTTATTAGTGATGAATACTACTGTAACCAGGTAGTTCTTTTTCATTGTTTCTCTTTTATAAAAATACAGAGCTTTCATCCTGACAAATATTGACTTTTGCCCTTAGCTAGCCTATACATTACTTAAAAATCTTTATAGATGGCAAGCCATAAATTAAGGTATTTTTAAGTGACCTCAAGATTACTTTCAGGAAAACACATCTGTGAGTCAAATTGCTTGGCTCTAAAAGATAAGATGGAATATAAATCAAAAGTTTGTTTCATCTCACAGAAAGCCTCATTAAGAATAAGAAAATGTTCTTAATTTGCATGCATTCTCTGATATCTTTCTCATAATACACTGGATTTGAGTTCAAATACAAAATGGTACCATTTGAAAGTTAACACCATCATTTTAGAAAAGACTATGAATTACTTCCAAAGATCTGTCCCTTTTTAAAAAATAAACTATGGACTACAAATCATGCTTAGTTGTTTGGACTTCTTCCACATATTTTTTCCTGATCATTCAAGAACTACAACAGAGGAAAGAAAGCTAAATAAGCTTATCATTAAGTAACCAGTCAAAAATCAAAAGAATCAAACTCAACACTTTCAGTTAAAATGTCCAAAGGGCTCTTTTTTTTTTTTTTTTTTTTTAGTGAGGCAATTGGGGTTAAGTGACTTGCCCTGAATCACACAGCTAGAAAATATTATGTGTCTGAGGTCGGATTTGAACTCAGGTGCTCCTGACTCCAGGGCCAGTGCTCTATCCACTGCACCACCTAGCTGCCCCTGGGCTCTTCTTTTCATACTGCCTCAGGTTACAAACTCAAAATGGAACTCTAACTACTACTTTGCTTTCTTCTTCATCTTAGGTTTATGTTACCAGTTTGTATTTAATTTTTTTTTGTTTGTTTAAAAACAGCACAGACCATTCTTCCCTTCATTAAGGGGGAAAAAAGAGCTTGTTGCCCAGTAAAATATGGACCAAAAAAAGTGGTTTGGAATTGCTGGTAGCTGTAGACTAGAAAAAATTTGAAAAACTTTACCTTTAGCTGGCCCATTGATGTAGTGGCAGCTCATTGTCTTACCATGCAAGAGACTAAGGTTCAGGATCAGACAGTAGAGGCTGGACATAGTTGAGGTAACACACCAAAGAAGAGACGGCCAGCCCAACCCCTCACACAGCATCCCTTCCTGGTTACTCCATGGAGTGATAATGATACTGACTTGCCTCATCTTGCCAGTTACTGGCAAGGCACTGCATTGATGGCTCCTAGAAATGGATAGGAGTGATTGGGAATAAAAGGGGGTAGGGGGGGAAAAAAAGGTGGCCATGATGAAGAAATGAGCAAACCCCAGAAACTCTCACCAACTCACTGTCAAATCATATACTTTAATATTAAAACTATTAGGGGAAAACAACAAAACAAAAAAGGAAATAAGGAATGAAAAATTACTACCTATTATAATTTATGTAGAGGTCTAAGAATTGAGGTTTGTATCCTGCAAATAATTTCACTATGTTTAATTACAGCAAGAAGTAGATTCAATTTTAGCTCACAATCCTGTAGTAAAAAAATAGAGCATTACAATATAAGCATTTTAAATTCTGGCAAGTCAGCTTCACCTTTTATTGCCCCCCAACCATTTCACAATAGCAAAGTGTACTACTTACCAAACAATTCCCTGAGCTCCAGATCCTATTGGTTTTAATTGCTGGTAACGTTTTAGTACTGTGAAAGTTGAATCTGCAACTTGCACACTATAAAAATGACTATCACATTTATTGTCACTCATGATGCAGTGCCACGTAGTTTTCCAAAGACCTGGTACCGTTTGATTTCCTTTAAGAAAAGCAAAATATACATGGATTCTTACTTAAATATGCATGCTTATGTGAACCATTTATTCTTATAAATTTTAGTCGCTTATTTCAATTTTTTAAAACTACTCATGAGAATTAATTTTCAGTAAAGATGAAAATTGTGGTATTTTTTGGCACTCTGAGGCATAAAGTCCCACATATTATCACAAAGCAATTCTCAATTATATACTTCTCTCAGATATGAATAGCCAAGGAGAAAAGAGAGATCTTGGTCAGAAGCAATATGTGGTTTCAGAAGAAAAGAAGAGGTAACAGGTTACTGGCCCAGGACAGAAGTTTTATACTGACAGAGATAATCCAGACCTAGACCCCCATAACTTTTTTCCCTCATCCCTGGAACACTGATTTCAGCCCCTCATACCTGAGATCCTACCCCAGTTACTCCTCCTTTGGCTAGCACCGAATGAGCTCCAGCTCCATGGAGGAAAGAAGGTTGAGTAGGAGGTTCCACTGGCTATCTCTTCCTTTGTGTGCCACCTCAACCAGGTCTAACCTCCACTGTCTGATTCTGAACTGTAAGATCTATACCTTGTCAATAACCATCCCAGAATACAGATGGGCCACAATGGTTTAAATACCACAATGGTTTAAAGTTGAAAGAAGTAGGTACATATGCTATCATTTTTATGAGGTAGGCTGGGAGCCTAATTGACATATATTATTTATATGAAATGACTTTCTAGTTCTAAATAAGGAACTTTTAGAATATAATCCTCTCCAGAATCGAGGTATGTATGTGTGTGTGTGTGTGTGTATGTATACAACTATACAACATAAAACAATTTGGTAAGCTTTACTGAGAAACCTGTTAAGAGACATATTAACACTGCAACCTGTGCCTCAAGAAATCTTGACAGTTTATAAATAAATCCTTTCATTAGGAAAGAAAACAAAATAATTCTTTTCCTTTAGAATTAAATTTTAATAAACTAGAATTCAAACACCTACTTCTGGAAAGAATAAGGTATAGATTATTACTAGAATTGTTAGTGCTACCATAATAGGATTGTACCACTATTTTCCTGTTATTAGTTTCCTTATACATCTCCTATATCTCCTATCTGTTTCAGCTGGAGGTGGAAGGCATTGTTTCTATATTATATTTAATAAACTATACAAATCAGGCTTAGAGATGAAAGAAGGTACTTCAAAGATACCTCCAACTTCTTCCAGTCCTTGCTCTCAAGGAGCTCACAATCTAATGGGGAAGACTACACACAGGCAACTATGTGCAAACATCACATGTAGTATGTGTGTATATAAACACAAACATGGCCATATACCCAATAAATTGGAGATCATCTTGGAGCGAAGGTATTAGAGTTGACAGGATAGGGTTTTGGAAAAGATGGGATTACAACCCAGTTCTTTAGACTCCAAAACAAGCATTCTTTCTACAGAAACCAGACTGCCTCCTAATCCAACTCTAATGCTTCTTCTCTGTGTAGAGTGTTGTTTTGAAGTAATATAGGATTGATTCTTCATTAAGTCCAACTCCAATGACCCTGGTGCTGAAAGACTCAGATACAGAAGTATACAGATTGACATTCGTATCATGTTGACTAAGCTTTAAGTAAAAAAGGACCAATGAAAGAATGTATACCTAACGTCTAAGGACCAGTCCACATGCTATCAGGTTGACCATAGCAGGAATTGTCCTCACTTGTTTATTCTGTTGTTGTTGTCTGTCCTCCATTCTCAAAGGGAACCAATGACATCAGGAAAGTGATGTCTTGACTTCAAAGTAAGTTGGATTTAAGTGAGGCAGGGCTGTGCAAAGTCCCCAGCCTCACTCTCTAATCTAGAGCCATCTGGGTCCAGTGAAAGACATACTGGAGATGGCCCCAGATATAGCAGGAGACATGGGTCTTTTTAAGCTAAGGTCTCAGTCTGAGGTAACACCCATTTAGTAATTAAAGATAGGTAAGAAATGAGGCAAAGAATGGCCTCTTTTAACTACTCAAAAAAAAAATCCATCTGGGAGGGGAAGATCCTCAGGGTTTCTGGCCAGAACAGAAACAATTGCTATTTACACCTACTCTGAGCCAACAAAACCCCAAAAATGACCAACTGAATTCTGGATTAGGGCCCATTACTGGCCAAATAGTGAGAGTCAGAGTGATCTGGATTATGATTCCTTCCATAAGGAAATATGGTTCCCTCCTATCCCCTCCCCCCAAAAAGGGTGATGATTTATTTGTTTTAGTTGTAAATCATTTTCAAGCTTTCATTTCTGTGTAAATAAGTCAAATAGTAAAACCTACTTCAAGTTAATAGAATCCTATCTTTTCTATCACTAGTTCTTTATCTATAACTCTGCTATTTTTAGAATTATCTAAAAGATGGGGAAATGTTGCTTTTCCATGTCTTTTGATAGAATCACTACCCACATCTTTCAGATGAATAATGTAATTTTTAACAGCTCCCATTCTCATGCTGCTCATGTAGCCTGGAGAAGAGAAGAGAAGGGATACCTAATAGCTGTCTTCAAGCATTTGAAGGACTCTCATGCAGAGGAGGGATTTGACTTGTTCTGTCTGGTCCCAGAGAGCAGAACTGGGAACAATGGATGGAAGTTACAAAGATGCCAATTCAGGTTTGAGGTTAAGAAGATTTTCCCAACAATCAGAGCTATAAAAAGTAGAATGGACTGCTTCGTGGTGAGTTCCCCATAATCTCCCTCCTGAGAGATCTTCAAGCAGAGGCTGGACCAACTACCTGTACCAGTATGCTGTAGTGAAGATTTCTTTCATGTAAGGGTTGAACCAGATGGCCACTAAAGTCTCTTAAAACTCTCAAATTCTGTGATATATACATATACATAAAACTGCAGATAGATAATTAGTCAGATGACATGTGGATCTGGGTAAAGAGGAAGACAAAAGCAAAGAGAAGGTACACACAATGAACCATCAGATCTATTCCTGGACACTCTACTTGGATAGTGTTAGCTAGGTGACGACAGGCTGACAAGTGTTGCAGTACAGTGCTGACTCAAGAAGACCCGAGTTTGAATCCTGCCCCAGAAAATGAGTAGTTGGGGCAGACTAACTTTGGGCACATAGATTTTTAAAAGGCACAAAGCAGATGAGGAGCCACAACAGGAGCTTTCAAAGACGGGAAGAAAACTACAAGAGTACACAGTCTCCGAAGCTAAGGGAGCAGAGGGTAGGTTATTATAAAGAGGTCAAGAGGAATGAAGGCAGAAAAGGTCTTTGGGTCTTTACTCTTTAGTGTCCAGGTCAGTAATACTTTTCAGAAGAATAATGGAGATGGAAGACAGACTGATTACTGAGGTTGAAGAATAAACTGTTATTGAGGAAGTGGAAGTGATGAGCGCCAACTACCCTTTATTGAAGTTGAACAGTGAAGGAGAGAAGATGTTGGCTTGAGCATAATGCTAAGGGAAGGGCTCTGGGTTTTGTTTTGTTTTTTTTTTTAATTTTAATTTTAATTTTTTAGGCCAGGAAAGGCCTGAATGTGTCTGTGGATTGAGAAAATGGGAATTAGTAGACTAGATAGTAACAATGCCTGAAAGAACTAACAACTGGGATAAAGGCAACGAACAGAAGAGATAAAATAGGACTCAGGGAAAGATGGGATTGAGGGTAAAGGAAAGAATATCCTTGCTGAAAGTGAAGGAGTAAGAGATGGGAGCAGGAATATTGAAAAGAGATGGTTTGGAACATACATTATTGTAGAAGCTAATAACACACCTTATTTTATACAGTACTTTTAAGATTTAGTCAATAAATAATAAGCATAATGAGATTTTATAGCATCTACATCTTTCGATCAACTGACAAACAATAAAGATGTGGTCTATTACTGAATATCTTTTTTTTAATTGAATATTTTATTTTTCCCAATTACACATAAAGACAACTTTTAACATTCATTTAAAAAAAATTTTGAGTTGCAAATTTTCTCCCTCCCTCTCCTCTCCTCTTCTTAAGACATAAGCGATTTCATATATATGTGCAATCATGTAAATGAATATCTCTTTCCAAAGTTTGCATGTTCCCACTAATACCTTCATCAAGGATATCCTCCATTCATGTATAGATAACTCAAAGATTTTGTACAGGTAAAAGAGATATTTGTTTTATAAAAAAGATTTGATTCACTAGAGCAAAATGTCACCTGAAAACCTCTTTTTCAACAAGAATCTCCATCTATATATCAAAATCTATACATCAATATCTGTTTTTATCTTGGCCCTGGCACTGTAATAGTCACCAGAAGGAACTCTACCAAAGGGACTTGTAAGAAGACCACTTCTCACTGTACCTTAGAGGCTCAAAAGAAGCAGTCTCCAGGCCTCTGTTATCTGGAAGAAGGCAGTAATCTGAGGGTCCTGTGACCTGGGGCATCATTGTCTCTTCCATGGGCTTCAGTTTCCTCTTCTGCAAAAAGGGCTGGGGCCAAGTCACATTCACCGCCAAACCCTGGGATCCTGTGACCCCTCTAAATATATGATCTGCTGTGATCCTCTCCAGATAATGCGTGTTCCAGTGGGAGCTGCCAAAATGACTTTCCTAAAGCAAATATCTGACCATGTAACCTTTCCCTTCCCTATTCAATGAGCTTCTTATTTTCTCGAGTCAAATACAAACTCTACAGTTTGGCATTTCAAACTTTTCTTCATCTAGACCCATTCTATTTTTCTGCCATACTGCTAATATAACTCCTTTCCATGGACTCAACAATCCATCCATACTGTTGTACTTGTTGTTTATCATCCACAATGCATCATCTCCCTCCTATGTGGACTGGCTGTCTTTTAAGCCTGGGATGCTTTCCTCTCACTGCCACATTTAAGAATCCCTGGCTTCTTTCAAGACATAGTTCAAGAACCACCTCCTGAAGGAGGTCTTTATTGATCTTACCAGCTGCTAGTGTCTTCATCGTTAAGGTTACCTTGTATCTACTGTCTTTGTCTTACATATAGCTAATCAT